TGCCCTAAAATATTGATCAGAACCACAGCTGGTATAAATTAGGATGACTCCTTCGACTTGACAGAATAAACTTGTCACTGAAGCTTTGGTTGCTTTTTTTAATGAAGATGAATGAAATACATGCAGCATAATATCCTACATTAAAGACCTGGATACTTGCTGCCCAGTTCCTACAGAAGAGCAGTATCTGAAATAAACTGGAATAAAACACAGAAGAGAACTGTTATATGCACTTACTTCAAGCTGTCTTGACAGGCTTGTCATAAGGCTGTCAAACTGGCTATGGTTTGAGGTACATTTCTTCCAGGCCATTAAGAATAGAGCTGATATGAAAACTGATTTTCTGGCAAGCCAGATAAAGTCCAGTGCTTCCAAAACTTACGTGAAGGAACTTAGTGTGAAACTAAAATTCTGAAAAATCTCACTTGGGAAATATTGAAACATTGGTTTTGTTGCTATTTTTTTCAGCTCTTTGTATCGGTCTCTACTCACTGAGAAAGATGAAAAATTGTTTAAACTGTCATATTAAATCAATTGACACTTTCCATGAAAGCATCGTGATTTTTTTGATGAATGTTTATTTTCTGACAGAAATCTTTCATCAGCATTTTTTGAGGTTCTCTAAATAAGACCCAAAAATCACATTGTGTACTTTTCGAAAGGTAACTTCTTAGGAATATAAAACAGTCTGTAATTGCTTGGACTTAGGAAGAAGAAATTAATTGGCTTTTCAAACCCTGGCCATTGAAAGCTGTGCCATCTGTCAGAGGAGAAAATACTTTCCGATTGCCAGAAAATAACAGGTTCTGGATAGACTTTTCTTTGGTATGTATCTGTATATAATACAGCTAAATGTGCTATCCTCATGCGTGACAATAAATTGTTAGATTTTTGCTCAAAGACGACAATAAAATTACTTCTAAATTCTTAAACTGATGCTTCTACTACTACTGTGCATGATTCAGGAGTATTGGGGTCTGCCCAGTTGCTAATAAAGTTTTAAATTAATTTCAAAGTCAACCCTGGCTTAGCTCTGTACAAGGTTTGTTTCCAAACCATGCAATTTGGTTTGGCATACATATGTTAATACCTGGGCCTATCAGGGTAACGGGATATTTTATCATGAACCTCAGTTATGCTTTGACTGAGAGCACTGTCTTTTGCACAGCAGAGCAAAAGGAGAATTTTCTTCCGCTGCGTTTTCTTCTTGCACATCTGATTTATCCTGCCCAAAATGACAATGCTTTTGGCCTCCTTAAGACTTGTATGTTATGTTGCAAGCACTGACAGATTACAGTAGGTTTTGAAACTTTCCATCTTTTATTCTGAGTCTGTGAACTCTGGGCTATTAAATAACAGATTGGTAATCAGAACAGGAAAAATGGAAAAGGGTAAAATAACCTATTAACAGTGTGCACTCAGATTAGTCCTGCAAACCAGTTAAGTAAAGAAAAAGCAGTTAATTCACCTGGAGTTCTTATGTTCCTTGAAGTCCTGCTCAGTAAGGAAGGCTAGAAACACTGGTGGGGTTGGAGCAGGGGGAAGAATGTGACTGGTGGGCATCCACCCAAGAGAGAAGACAAGAGATTGTAGGAGGACCCACAGGGGCTGCCTGAAGGATGGTCACAGAGAAGTTTCATGTAAATCTTTCTGTTTTTTCTGCAATGTGTATGTTTGCTGAGAAGTTGAGCATGCAGCCTGCTCTCTTGCTAGGTGTCAGACACAGCAAGGCTGCTGCAGTTTGCCCTGAGTTGAGCCAAAATGGGCTCTGCAATGCGTGCAGTCTGAGGGCGAGGTGCCAGCCTCCACTCCACAATTGTATCTCCAGTACGGAAACACAAATGGCTTTCCCTGCTTCGCTTCTCCATTTATTTTGAGTCTATTCTTACGATTTAAATAGCTGTGGCTCTGGGGGAGTGCAAAACAGAAAATGTTTTGCAACCTGGTCAAAACAGGATCTAGTAACAGTAATGACTTGCAAGGTGATTTCTGCTGATTGCACATGCAAGTTTTTGCTGGTAGACAGGATGAGAAGAAGGAGAGTTTGTGTGTGCATGTTGTATCATAACAGAGGAAGTTTATGTTATTTTCCATATTCTGCAAAGTCACTTAAAGCAAGCCCAAAGTGCTAGTGCTGGTGTGTGTGCTGCCCGGCCAGAGGTTACTCAGTAAAGTTCTGTCCCCACCCTGGGTGTGCACAGGCCACTGGGTCTAGCTGGACGTTTGGAAACTCTGAGAGTGCTTTTGTGCTCTGACTCTATAACTTACATTGGAAATCCTGGTTGGTTTTTAAAGCAAAAACCCCTACATAAATAAATATGTTCTCCATGCACGCACTTTAGGGCAGAGGAGAGAGAAAAATCTGAATTTGACATACAGTCATAATTGTATATTCATTCTGAGGATGGAAGACTAGGCAAAGCCACTTTTTTATTTGACTGAGTAAAGCTTTGAAAGGTAAACGATGCCTGTATGGAACACTGAACTCTTTTCATATCAGTATTTTCTGGGTAAGTGCCATTTAAGTCAATGTAAAAAGCCTTAAAAAGTGCAAATTCACTATTTAGGTTTCTTACGCAGTTACCCCCACTCCCAGCTTCTGCTTCTAAAGGCAAGAATTTAAAAACTACCTCTATGCTCTACCTGGAAGGTTGCCTGGGCACTGGAGTTGAATTCAATAGCTACTCAAGACTTCCTGTATAACTAGGAATACACTCTGTGCATGTGGCATTATCAGAAAGCCATATCTACTGTAGAACGTCAAAACTTGATTAAGTTGTGGGGAAGAAGGAAGGGATGTACTGTAAGTCATTCATACAGAATCATTTGTAGAGCATTTTACGTCAGCTATAACAGTCTAGCGGGTGCTAGCAGAATATAAATCTTCTGATCAAAAGAAGAGAACTCTTTGCTAAGAGGCTTTATTATTGCCGTAGCAGTTAAGGTTAAGTGAGTATATCTATTCTAGCCCCATAGTTTTCACTTGATAATGAAAACCTTTTATCATTTAAGCTGAAATTCTCTGCTATGTCCTTACCAGAACATGTTTTGTGTGGGGCTTTTTACTCTGGTCTTGCTATATAGAGGAAAGTGCTTTCAACTGAACTGTTTCACTTCTAGTTTCTCAATCTCACAAATTAAAATAATTGGAAAGTAATCTTTAAATACCAGTTTCTTTCCCCACTGCACTTTGGGGGGGGTGTGGGGGGGTGTGGAAATCCACTTTTGTTTGCTTTTTTGGCATTCTTTGCAATCTGAAGGTTCACTGTTTCAATGTCTTGGTGCTATTTTTGTTGTCCTGCTAATAGCTTGAGTTCACCAGAGTGCACGCAAACATTAAGGCTTAAGAGCAAGTCCAACCACAGTATTTGTGTAGTCCCTCATAGTACTGTTTCAGGCAAAATTTCTGCAAGCTATAGTTGTTGCTGTAACTAAGGATGTGAGCTGAGATACAGGGGTCCTGCAGAATGTGACCTGACCAACACGGTAGTGGATCTTTGCAGAGCAAGATTGTAGAATGGCAAATCTCGTGCTCTGATTCAGCTGGGAGAGCTGATGCTGAGTCCAGGCAGCCACGTAGTGCAAGGAAGACTCATTCTTGTTAGGCAGAACTTCAGATGAGAAGCTGTGTGCCTCTTGCTTTTGATCAGGAAGAGTGTTTTTCAGACAGTCCCAAGGCTGAAGGCTGTTAAACTAAGGCGCAGTATTTATTGGATCCAACTCTTAGTTTGGGCTTACAATCACGACGCTATCTTTTGCACAGGAATGTAGAACTGCTCTTAAGCACTGCCCTGTCCATTGGGTTTGTCCATGTTGCCCCTCTGAGGTGTATTGATTTTCACTGCTTCTGTAGGAGAATAGAGAATGTCCCTGTCTCCATAGCCCTTACCTGGTGACTAAAGCATTGCCACGGGGTGGGAGCATGAAAAACTACTTTTAAAATGGAGCTTAATTATCTTATGGAAGGGATTAGAGGAGAGAGGGCTGTAAGGGCTGATGTCTGTATCCCTGGTATGGCAGGCTCGATGTTCCTAATTCGGCTTAATGTAATCTGGTGTCTGACTGGATAATGTTGTTACACTGATACAGCGCTGCCAACCCTTAGAGCCTCCCTTCCCCCCCCTCCCCCCCTTCTTCTCACGGAATAGTTGAAACTGGCAGAGAAGGTGCAAGGTCAGTGAAAAGCTAGAGTAATGACAGCATGGGACTGCAAGGCTTATTACATTATGGGAGGAAGAGGACCAGCGTATGCATTGTAATGCTAAAAAGATTCCCTGTGACGTGGTACAGCGACACTAGCCACATGGTGTCTTTGACTTGTTCTGGTAGCGTGCTGTCTTGGGGATCTCAGAGCGCAGGATAAGGTTCCAATGTGGTGGCAGAGACACAGAACTCAAAAGCGCATAGACACAATCTGAATGGCTCTGTGTGTGGAGCAGAAGCAGCTTTGAGAGTCACAGGATTGATGACAATGAACTGGGCAGGAATTGGAGGTGCAAAAGAAAAGGTGGGATCAGGTTCTAGTGCCCAGGAATCATGTCAGCTGGGATGGGGGCAGCACTCTCTTTCTGGAGAGCTCGGACACCTTCCTTCTGGGCTGTTTTGAGGAAGGCACTGCTTTGACACGCATATGGACAAATAAAAGACTATCCAGAAAAAGGTCAAAACAGCTGCTCAGGGTAAAAGGTACAGACAGTGTATAAGTGGAAAAATTAAATGCATGCTGCCTCACAGACCTGCATGCTACAAACTAATGAGTGTGCAGAGCAGAGGAGGAAACTGTTCAGTGTGTTGTATTTCTATCATATAGGAGGAAGACAGAGGCTATAGGGGGGAAGTTTCCTGATGAGATCTGTCAACAGTGGGTATACTTTCAAAGGAATTAGCTGACATGCCATCACTTTGGCCTTGTTTTCCTGCTTTAAATTGCTGGTGCTGGACATGCCTTGTAATGATCAGGAGAGAGCTTATCTTCTCTTCTTGCTTTTGTCCTAGGTCCAACACGAAAAATGCCCCTGACTGCCAGTGCCATGGACTTTTTTCAACTCTTTGTCCCTGACAACGTACTAAAGAATATGGTGGTCCAAACCAACATGTATGCCAAGAAGTACCAGGAGAGGTTCGGTAGTGATGATGCCTGGATTGATGTCACCTTGACGGAAATGAAGGCCTTCTTAGGCTACATGATATCAACCAGCATCCACCACTGTGAGTCCGTTCTCAGCATCTGGAGCAGCGGTTTCTACAGCAACAAGAGCATTGCACTTATCATGACACAATCACGGTTTGAGAAGATCCTGAAGTACTTCCACATTGTGGCCTTCCGCTCAAGCCAGACAACACATGGCCTCTACAAAATCCAGCCTTTTCTGGACTCTCTGCAGAATGGCTTTGACTCAGCTTTTAGACCTTCGCAAGCCCAGGTAAGAGTTAACCTTTTGGCAGGGAACATCTAACCTACGTGCTCTAGGTTGTCTTGCTATGACTGAAAGCGCAGAGCACAGCTGCCCGAAGAAAGAGCTGGGGCTTCACAGTGTGAAGCCATGCTGCAGTGCCTCCGTGAAACGTGAGAGAAAACAGCACTGTCCTATGCGAGTGCTCAGCAATGTCTGACTTACAGCTCTGCAGTGCAGGTACCTGGTATGTTTCAATAGGAATGACACTCTCTGAGCTGGGGCTGTTTGCTTTAGTCGTCTAAACAAGCCTGGAGACTTCTCAGTGACGTTGGCACCACTAGGTATTGCTATCCTGAGGACTGGAGGTTGCAGGTTGCTCCTGTAAGGGAGAGTGGAAAGGGCAGAGCTGGTGTAGCTGGGCTGGAGGGAAAACCTGTAGCTGCTCCTGCTGCAGGCTGAGGGTTGGATGCAGGAGCTGAGGTTGCTAGGAGTGACCGTCCCTGACCTTAGCAGTAGGTGCTTGCCGTATGGTCCAGCAGCACAGTTACCTCCTCACGACTGGGCAAAGGGAAAATAAGCAGGGGGGCAGGTGCCTTTGCTCGCTGTGGTTGTCAGCTGCCCTCAGCAGCAGTGCCTGTGCCTTGGGCCAGTCCTGGGTTTTAATGACGGGTGATGCTCCTGTGGAAAAACTTACTGATGTGTGGATCTGCAACCAAAGTGCCAGTGAACTGGAAATGTTTCTAGACTACCAGGAATACCAATGAATTTTCATTTCCAGATACAATTAGGGGTACAGCAGAATGCCATTCTGTAGGGAGACTGCTCTGTAGACTGGGCAGACAATGTAAGGAACTAAATATAGAAACTTATGTAGCTGGTGGTTGTCTGACTACAGCTGTACAGTTGGAACAATTTTTCTTAAAGTGCAAAGAAATCTTTTCTTAACATTCATCATAGACTATGTAAACTTTGTTCCAGTATAAATGATCTCCTTTTGGAGCTGTTTCTACTGGTCACATTCAGAAGTCTGGAAAGAAAAAGGAATAAGCATGAAATATGTTACTGCTTGAAAAAACTTTTCAATCAGCAACTCTGTTTTCAGAATATAT